ACGCTAAGTGAGCTCAGAAAATTCTGGATATTTCATACTTACTCTTACGATGAGTGCTCTTGTTTCAGGGGCCAGGTCTAGACCTAGGGGTTCTCCAAATACACCTAGTTTTTAAAAGATATGTAATGAAAATGGAAAGATTTGAAGTTTATATAAATATTATGGAAACAGAGCAGTAACTGTTAAGAACAGAAGTCAGCAAACCATGGCTCACTCGTCAAATACGATTGGTAGCCTGGTTTTGTGTAGCCAGTGAGCTCAGAATGAGCTTTCCATTTTAAATGGTTGGGGGAAAATAAAAAAAAGAATAATCATTTATAACATGTGAAAATTACGTGACATTCAAAATGCTTATAAAGTCGGAGCGGAGCACAGGTGTGTCCGGCTGTTCATTGTCTGTGGCTATTCCGTGCGTTGACAGTGGGGCTGTGGCCACAGAGACCGGGTGGCCTGAACGATCTACAGCATTTACTCTGCGGCTTTCCACATAGAAGTCTGCTGGCTCTGGGCTGAGGGCTGACACCAGTGCAGTTGTCCCCCCTCACCCACGGTGACACTTGCTGAGGTTTCAGCTACCTGTGGTCAACCCCACTCTGAAAATATGAAATGGCAAATTCCAGAAAAAATGTGTTTTCAATCGCTCGCTGTTCCCGGTAGCGGGGTGGAATCTCGTGCCTGCGTGCTCGGTCCTGCCCTGGACGTGAATCTCCCTTGGCCCACGGCCGTCACGCTGTCCCGCTCCCTGCCCGTTACCCACCTCGTAGCTTCTGGGTGTCAGGTTGCTTGACTCTTGCAGGGTCATAGTGCTCGTGTCCAGGCAGCCTTGATTTTCCTGAAGAGTGTCGCATTCGCACGACTTTGATTACAGTAGACCCTGTAATTCTTCCATTTTATTAGTAGCTGCCATTGTTAATCTCTTACTGTGCCTAATTTGTAAGTTAAACTGTATCATAGGCATATATGTATGTATAGAAAGAGCCATATGTATAATGTTGGTACTGTCTGTGGTTTTGGGCATCCACTGGCAGTCCTGGACCATATGCTGTCAACATCAGGGCAGGGCTGCTGTAAATGGCTTATTCAGGGAAGAGAATTACATCACTGATGTTGCTTAGAATTGCTGGTTCTTGGTGATACAAAGCAGATCGATTTTTACTTGGTTTTGTTGTGTTTTAACTTGTAAAGCCAGGACACTCTCCCTGCCCCACCCCTGTCCCGGGCCTGCACCTGGGATGACTGCGCCTCCCTGCTTGTCCCAGGTTGGCTTCAGCCTACGGTAAAATCGGGCATTACTTAAAGTGTACCCAAGGTTTGTGTGCATGAGGAGTACTCAAGTACACTACCACCTTGGCTGCAGGTGACAGACACCTCATTTGAAGGAGCTGAGGGGAAGACCTGGGGTTACTTACCCGGGTCACTGGAGGGAGGGTCAGCTGGGCTCTAGGACACGTCGCTCTCCTGGTGCTGCTTCTCCTTGGCCGATGTCCTCAGTGCACAGACCATTGTCCCTCTTTCCAGGACGGATCGTGCCTTGAGAGCTGTCTTCAGCTGGCACAGGCCTGAGGCAGGGCCAGGAGGGAAGGGACTCTCTTCTCTTTTTTCCAACGTGGAAAATAGCCAGGAAGCCTCCGATTGGCAGGCAGGATGGGGCTGAAGGTGGGTAGAAAGTCTGGAAAGGCAGTAGGTCCTTGGCCTTGACGCAGGAAAGGAAGTGTTCAGATGGTCTCTGAGTTCTTGAGTTGGGAAGTCCCTCTTTATTTCTTCATATCCCACCTGTTTTCCTGCGATAGCCTGTCACCCTCAGCCTCTCACTGTCTTCATTGTTTTCCCTTATCTTCCCCAAACTTCTCATCCACAGCTTCACCCCCCAAGTGTGCAACCCCCCTACCTGTAATCATCTTCTCCCTTTAATTGCGTCATCATTTGCCAACTCATCCCAGGGCAGGGTAGTGATGAGAGCAGGGGCTCTGTTGTTACCCACTGTCAGGGGCTGTGTCGCCAGCACCTGGCATGGAGTGGGCGCTCCATACATTTTTGCAAGTTGGAGTGACTGCCTGCTCTCACCCTCTTGGACCTTATCGTTGTCCCAGCCTCTCTGTGACCGGACAGGGGCCTGGCCCTTAGTGGGGCTGCCCAGGGTCAGCTGGAGTGTGTGGGTTCTTGATTTCGTATACGAGAGATTTCACAACACAAGTCCAGGTGGCTATGAGGGCACATTTATTACAGCTGGAGACAGTGAAACACAGAAGGGCTTAGCATGGAGGAAGCAACAGGAGAGCCCGGGCTGGGCTGCCCCAGCTCACTGGGCAGTCAGAGAAGAGGGTTCTTGGGGACAGGCTCAGGGGATCAGCCTGGGTCAAGCTGCCACCGCCCACTGCCTAGAGTTTAGGAGACCCGTGCCTGTGGGGGAAGAAGTGGGGGAAGAGAAAGGGAGAGGAAATGGTGCAGGCTGCTCCCAGAGGGAGAGTGCATGAGTCCAGTCCTGTGTCTTGAGGTTTTTATCTCTGTCTTGCAGGTGGGAATCTTAGGGGAGGTCTCAGGGGAGAGTTTCGTCAGTTTTCCAGGTGTGTTCTTTCAGGTCATGGTTTCCACTGATTGGCCAGTGACAGGGCAGGGGGTCTTCAGTCATTGCAGTTGGTTCTGGCATTACCAACCTGGTTTTGCTGCTTTTCTGGGCCTGGAGCTGAAATATAACTGAGGCCTAGATGTTATCTCTAGGGAGGTGACCATCTGCACGTGGCTGTAAATTGCTCGGCCATTTGGTTCAGCCATCTGTCTGTTTCCCTGTTCCACTTGACAAGGAATGTTCCTAGCTTCTGACTATCCTGTCTCACCACCAGCCTGAGACCATCAGGATCAACCCCACAGTCTGACAGATCAGGTGTTAACTTATTGCACCAGGAACCCTGGGCAGTTCAGCTATAGGATTTGTGGAAGAGTGAGGTGGCATGAAGCAGTGTTTTGACAGGCCTTGTGCAAAGCAGGACCATATGTGAAGGGCCACATTGGGTCCAGGATGCAAAGCAGACCCAGCTCCCGCTCCCTTAGGAACCACCAAGTGGAGATAGCTGTGGGGTGTCGTGTTCATGATGTTGTGCTCTGTGCCTGGGCTGGAAATTTGGGCTCCTTTCTGACAAAGTGATTTACGTACTCCATGAGGGCGCTGCTAGTTTCATTTTTCCTGGGAATTTCAAACAGCAAAGTTTCTGCTAATCTATCATTTTAGAGCTCAAAGCTCTTTTTGAGGAAAACAGCCATTATTTTAAAAAGGGGTCTGTTATAACACTACAGCTTCAGCGGGGTGCCCTTGAGAAATACTGTTCCTTTGAAGTTTGCAGCTGGTCTTGTCTGTGCACGGCTTGTCTTGGCTTGGTGAATGGCCCAGAGTACACTGGGATCCTCTCCCAGTCTATGGGGAGCACGAGTCTTTGTGTGTTTAGTGTGCGGGATGGGTTGGAGGAGGCAAAGAAATCAGGAAGGAGGCTGTTCCTTTAGGTCTAGCCTGGACCTATAGAGAGAAGTGGGTGGATGCAGGACAAATCTTGGGTGTAAAAAAAATTATTAAGTAATGGAACGTGGGGAGAGAGTGAGGAGGAGACATCCAGGATGGTTCCAGCTCTCTGACTCAGGCATGGAAGGTGGTGGTGACCTACGCTAAGGAAGAAGGGAAACAGGTGAAGCAGGTTTTGAAGGGAAGAGGCTGCCTTTGGGTTCAGCTGGGCTGAATTTGTTGTTCAGCCGTGTGTAGATGTCTGATACACACCCAGACATACCTGTCAGAGGGCAGGCTACAATGCCAGCTGGGCCTACATGTGGGGGCCAGCACAGCAGAGGGGTGAGAACTGAAGCCAGGAGGAAGGATGTTATCTTAGGGAGGGTGTGTGGGATAAGAAGAGGAGGTGGCCACAGGAAGCAGCAAGAGGAAATCCAGTAGAGCAGAAGCCAGGAAAGACGTGAAAATTACGAGGAGAGAAGAGGAAGGAAGCCAGGAGGTGCGAGATCTAGAGGCCCAGCAAGGAAAGCTTTAATAGTGAGGCAGGAATGACAACTGGGAATCACTGCATGTCAGGACAAAGTACCCTTTGGATTAGCGACAGAGCCCCTTGGGCCAGGTTTCAGTGGTTTGGGGACTGAGTGGAAGGTGAAGAAATGAGGACAACAGTCGAGACATTTTGGAGCAAAGGTGGGATGGCTATTAGCTGGAGAAGGGCATGGAGGTCAAGAGAAGTTTATTTAGCAAGACTGGAGAGACTAGCGCACATTTAAAGGCTACTAGAGAGGACTGGTAGGAAAGAATGCAGGAAGGACTTGGTTATCAGGGGGAGGTAAGGGGTGTGCTGCGGAACAGAGGTCAAGGGAGGAGAGGAACCCAAGCCCTAGTGAGGAGGTTGTACTCTCTTCAGGTTGGGAGGGCGTTCCTGGCTGAAGAGTGGTGAGGAGTGAGGAGCGTCAGAGGAGAGCTTCCTGGGTCTTAATCCACGGGAGCCTAAGTAGTGGAGGGTCCCGCAGCTGGGTAACCAGCTTCTTTTTTCTCTGCTATGCCTCCATTTGGGCCCACTTCCCTTATCGGGTTATCTTCAGACCCAGCGTGCAGCCGGTTTCCCATCTACACCTGATCCTCTGGCACACCTCTTCCCAGCCACAGCCCAGCTCCTGTTCTGCACTCCTGGCCAAACACCCGATTCCTCCCCAGGCCGGCCTCCCTGACTTTTCTTCAGAATCACCAGCTTCTCACTTTTCCAGACTCGGTTTCCAGTCCCTTCCCCAGTTCCTACTCCAGCTGTCCCAGCATTATTCTTTTCCTTCCCAACCGCAGCTTCCTGCTTGCAGCTGCCAGAATGCAGCACTGACTGCTGGTCCCACCTACACCTCCGGCCCCGCCCAGTCCCTGGCCCCGCCCTTACCCGCCAAGGCCTACTCACCCTCTATGGGGTGAGTTGCTATTGGCTGACTCCTGCACAGGACTCCGCCCCCTCAGCCTCCACTTCTGCGATTGCGGCAGATAGACGCCGGTCAGAGCTGTCCCCTGGCAACGGGGCTGGCCGCTTCAGGGGAAAATCCTTGGATTGCCCAACCGGAAAGCGGAAAGCGAATCCAGTCGGTGAAGTTGGGAAGGTGAGTCCAGTTCGGTGACGACGGGAGGCAGAGGTGGCTTGAAAGCGGATGTAGGGTTCAGGGGCACTGGCCCTGGTCCTGGAGCAAAGGTGCCCGGAGTCCAGGGCCCTGAACCTCCCTGGCTACCCATGCCTCCCGCCCCTAGATGAAGGAAGGTTGGGGGCGAGGGCGGGACAACTTCGAAGAATGGAGGGTCTTTCCTTGTGGTCATTCAGGTCAAAAATCACCCTGCACCTCCAGCCTTTCGTGTGCTGGAGATAAGAGGGGCCCGCAGGTGTATCCCCAGGATCGAAGTCAGCTGTCCGGAAGGGGGAAGGGAGAGCAATAAAACTGGTAAAGACGTGGGAGGGACGGGAGCTTCTGCAGGAGGAGGAGTCAGGGGGGTTATGGTGGAATGTGTGTGGGGGTGGGGCGGGACGGGGTTAGGGGGAGGAGGGACCTTCCTTCTTGTATTCTGATCACACCGACCAGCTTTTCCCCAGGTTTAGTTGAGTCTGATCACTAAATGCAGTGCTAGATGACAGAGGACGAGGGAGCACTCTAGGCTCGCACCCCTGCAGAGGAGTCAGTGGGGCTCTCCGGAGGCAGGAAGCCAGCCTCGGGCAGGCCAGGTCACCTTTTCACCAGCGGGGACACTGCTACCTGAAGGCTGGCTCAGGCTCAAGCTGCCCTTTTGCAGAAGGGCTGCCGGGCTCGGAATGTGTCTATCCAGGTGAGGTAGTTGAACTCTTCCTAGAAAGGGGGTCCTGAGGGCCAGTCACCACTTTCAGGACAGTGGCCCCTTGGAGGTTGGGAGTTGGAGGTTGACCAGCCAGGGTGGAGAGCACCCCCAAACAGGAGCCGGTTGGAGAGGCTCGGAGAAGGGTTGACTGAATACCCCATCATGTCCGTTCAGCAGAAAAGGGCTCCTGGCACCCCACCCCCCACCCCCTGCCCAGCACTGAGGGAGTTTGCTCCTTCCAAGCTGGGCTGTTTCTCTTATTCCAAGGCAGAAACTCCACCTTTCCTTCATCTGTTTCTGTCCCTGGCTCCAGAAAGCAGAATCAAGTATCCTGTGTTATTACCTCATTAAATCCTCTCACCTCATTATAGGGTTAGTGGCACTTCCTCCATTTTACTAAAGTTTGAAAGGGCTTGGTGACTTGCCCCCAGTCATAAAACCAGGAAGAGTGAGAACCTGAACTCAGATTTGCCCCTCTTTGCTTATACCGTGACTCCAGGGCCCCTGTGCTGAGAGGCGAGTGTTGTGGATCTGATTCGGTGCAGTTTAGTGTAGGCTCCCCTCCTCTGCCCTGAGGCCCCACCTCCCTGGAAGCCAGGGTTTCTCACCCTCTGCCCTACTGACCTTTTGGGCCAGGTAATTTTTTGTGGTGGGGGATCCTCCTGTGCACTGTAGGATATTTAGCAGCACCCCTAGTTTCTACCCACTGGAGGCTAGCAGCAACCCCTTCCGCAGTTGCAACAACCAAAAATCATTGCCAAATGTCCCCTGGAGGACAAAACTGCCTCCAGTTGAGACCTGCTGGTGTGAGCAGTCTTAAAGTAACATACAGGTGTGTCCTCCTGAAAGAGAACTTGATATAAGTAACCTACAGAAGACTCAGGCCAGCAGAAGGTGGTTGTATGCTCAGTTTGCCAGGAAAAAGTCTGTCCTGCATTGTGAGGTGTGCCCGGCGCAGGCCTAGGAGAAAGCCATTGCTAGGGAATGAAAGTAAGCTTAGGAAATTGCATTTGGGGAGCAATGAGATGCACAGCAGGCCTTCGTGTCCTTTGCAAAATCGATGAAAGAGATTTCTGGCATGGTTAAAGCAGTCAAGGCTGGGATGGATGAACCGGGGAACTTTGTACCATTGCTGAAACTTCATCTGGCCTTGCAGAGCCTCTTTAAAAGGAAGTGGGGTTGTCCTTAGAGCTGTTTTGAGATGCATCCCTTCCCCAACGCCCTGCAGACTAAGAAAGGTGGGGCAGAGGTAGGGGCCTGTTGTTAGAGGCTGCCCCTCTTCCCTTAGGCTTGAAGCTCCTACTTGAGGCTACTGCACACCCTTCTCCTTCCTACTAGAAAAACTGGGGTAGCCCTGGGCCTTTCCTGGTATCTCCTCCTGGCCCTGCCCAGTGCCTATCCCCACGTGATGGTCCGCACCTCTTCTGTGCGTTTCCGCCCAACTTGGCTGCTCGCCCAGCTTGCTCCTCCTCTCAGCGTCTGGGCACTGGGAAGCCTGGCCAGGCTGCTCCATACTGATTTGTTTTCAGACAACAGTGAAGGAACCTATTTCCAGTGGGACAGAGGAGGTGGGGTGGGCTGGAAGAGGGGCTGATGAGAGCCCCCTTGCTCTGCAGCCCCTTCTGGTACTTTCCCCACACCAGACCCCGCCTCACTGACCTTGGTGTTCACCCCACACATTTACTCACCGACCCCACTTCCCAGGTGAACCCCCAGTGGGTGCCCGGAGACCCAACAGGAACATGTCTTGACTCCCGTGTTCTCACCCGAACCACACCGATCCCTGCAGCACTTGTTTGTCTTTCCCTGTGAAACAGGGCACTCCTGCAGGTCCAGGCCTGCCTGAAACTTCTCTGTGTCACCTGCTCTCTCTGATGGGCCAGGCCCAGGAGATGCCGGGCTGTTTATTGAAGGAATAGATGCGTGTGCTGATATCAGGAAGTGTCCTGCGGGAGGTGCCCCTGAGTGGCACAACCCCTGGGTGCAGGGATCCCACAGTCATGGAACATGTGGAGACTTCTGAGCAACGGCATTGAGATGTTGGCAGCCTTTTAGCCCCAGTCAGTAAGGCAGAGGGTGAAAAACCCCTTAACAAGGCTGGTATCCCCCTAGGAGAGCATATCATTGGTTTCGAGCAGAGAGGAAGCTTTCTCAGGATCCTGGGAATCTGAGGTGAGATGTTTAGATGTCTTCGTGTTTTTTAAGGAGAAGTCGGAGGTGGTGGTGTTTTGAGATCTCGTCCTTGCTGTAGGCTCTCGCTGGCGGCTTCTGGGCTTGTGTTCTTTGGGTTGGGGTGAATCGCTGCCTTGTATGTGCTGAGTCCCTGCCATGGCCTAGGCCTGGTGGGCTGTGGGCTACAGAGGTGAGGCATCCTGGAGCCATCCCACTGTGAGTGGTAGAGGGGGAGGCATTTATCCAAAGAGCCCCTGAGTACTGTGGGCCCATGACAGCAAATCCCATAGGAGCTGAACGTGGGGTGCTCAGGCTTTCTCAGGACCTGGGTCAGAGCAGCCGCCTGGGATTTACCCACGGGAACCCACAGGGTAGTGGGAAAATGGGTTGGTCTGCCTGAGAGACCAGCAAGGAATGACACAGCGATTGGACAGGCACTTCCCCATGCCTGCGTGCACGCCAGGTTGGTGTAGGGGCTGGGCAGGTGGCTGTGGGGCAGTCTCTTTTGTGACTTTCAAATTCTGGCCAACCAGTTAGGCATGAACCAGAGTGCTGGGGTGGGGGATGGGGAGCAAGCAGAATGCGCAAGGATGGGTGTGTCTTCGTTTCTGTGAAGGCAACAGTCAGTTCTAGGAAAATCACAAGTGCTGGGTGGTCTTGGAACCCGAAGGCCGGGTTTGATGGTGAGGCGTGCAAGGGGGCCAGGGAGGGCCAGCCCGCTGAGCCAGACAAGGGGCAGAAAGGAACTGCCCAGAGGGAAAGGCGCCTGATGCCCCAGGGGGACTACACACAGCCTTGACCTCGGGAGCCCGCCTGGGGTGGGTGCGGCCTCGAGAGTTCGGCTTTGATGTGACGCTGTGCTAACGTCTCAAAACCCTTTCCCTCCCAGGTGCTGGGAAGATTTCATCTCTTCCAGCATCTAGGTAAGTCGTGGGCCTTCTCACGTCACAACCTTTAGGTGCTTTAGAGCAAGTGAAAAAGTATGACCGTTGGTATGAAAACTCCATCTGAGAATGGAATGAATTCACTAGGGTGCATTTTCATCCGTCTACCCTTTTCAGGGTTTCAGCAGAATAGCAAGATAGGACAAATTTTTTGCCGACCTGTCAAATTAACACAGATTTTGAGTGATTTGAATTTCCCCGGGGTGTGTGTGAGTGTGTGTGAGTGTGTGTGAGTGCGTGTGTGGTGGGGAGTATGAACCTAGAAGCACTTTTGACTAATGCCCTCATGGTTTGCCAGTGATAGACGCTGTGTAGACAAAGAGAAGACCACCGAGCAAGCTCCCCAAAGAAACCCCACCCCCCCATTCCTGGTAAACACCAGCAGGGTGGTGTCCTTCCTCATCTTAGCCCCTTTCTGTTCTTCCTGCATCTTTGTGAAACATCATTGAGACACCCAGTCTCTGACTCGCAGCCAATCCGGACTGCACCCTCCCTGCTGCGACCCTCCCAAGAAGGCAGCTCCCACACTGTCCCAAGCCCCCCACGCTACCTCACTGCAGCAGCTTGGATGTGCAGCTTTGACCACACAGGTTCTCACTCATCTTTAGCCACTGGGCGTGGACGTATTTTTTATTCTGAGTTCTCCATGGCCTTGGGATGCTCTGTAACGCATGCTGCGCGTGGGATGTAGGACATGAACTGCAGAATCCGTGCTGTTAGTGCCCTCCTTCGCCCTTCGCTTTGCACACTGTCCTCCTCTCTGCTGTGTTTAAAAACCACATGCTGCCGTCTCATCTCCCAGTCCGGTCCTAAGTGATCAGGTTGTCTCTTGGGGCTCTTAGCAGATTGACCGTAGCAGACAGGTCTGCCTTGGCACGGCCGTTCGGATTGCACCCCTGGCGGGGACCATGAGGCAGCTGGTGCTGCCCACTGACTGTGTGCTAGAGATGAGGAGAGCCTCGTGCAGGCTGGACCTTGAGCCCAGGGCCTGAGGTTTCCTTCTTGGCTCTTCGCCTATGAGAAACCTGAGCGTGGAAGCATTTAGATCAGACGGCCCATGAGTGATAGCCCTGAACTAGGATGCATAAGCCCTCGTTTCCAGCCAGCCTCTGTGAGTGTGCCACAGTCTGTCTCCAGGGAGCCTTCTGCTAGAGCCTTCCTGTGCAGGGCAGATGGTCCCCCTGCCAGGATGGCAGAGATAAAAAAGATGAAAAAAGTACAAGGAAGCTGGAGAGGGTATAGTGAAATTGGAACACATGTGCTTTGCTGCTGGGAATGGAAAATGGAAAATGGTTTGGTGGTTCTTCAAAAGTTCAGCATCAGATTACCATAGGACCCAGCAGTCCCGCTCCAAGGCCTGTCCCCTCAAAATGTGAAAGCGGACACTCAAACAAGTACACGTGAATAGTGCTGCCATCAACGTGTGTATACAAACACCCAAAAGGTAGAAAGAACTTAAATGTCTGCCCACAGATGAATGGATAAACCAAATGTGGTACCTTCACACACTGGAATATTGCTCAGCCACGAACAAGAACGAAGTGCTGACACCCGCTGTAACATGGCTGAGCCTTGGAAACATTCTGCTGAGTGAAATGAGCCAGTCACAAAAGAACACATGTGTATGACTCCACTTACATGAGAAGCCCAGCGCAGGCAGATCCCACAGAGGCGGCACACTAGTGGCTGCCAGGGGCGAGGGGGAGTGGGCTGGGGAGTGACTGGTGATGGCTACGGGGTTTCTTTAGGACGTGAAGGAAATGTTCTGAAGCTCTGTAGAGGTGGTGTTTGCACAAGACCAGGAATGCGCTAGATGCACTGAATTCTGTCCTTTAAAACGGTGAATTTCCTGTTAGGTGAATCTCACCTCAATAAAAGGAAAGGAAAGATCCCAGCGGTACCCCATTTCCCCTTGAAGTTTTTTTTTTTAATAAGGAAATAAAGTATTTTTTTAAAGATTTTATTTATTTATTTTTAGAGAGGGAAGGGAGAGAGAAAGAGAGAGAGAAACATCAACATGCGGTTCCTGGGGCCCATGGCCTGCAACCTAGGCATGTGCCCTGACTGGGAATCAAACCTGCGATGCCTGGTTTGCAGCCCGCGCTCAATCCACCGAGCTATACCAGCCAGGGCTCCCCTTGAAGTTTTGCACAACTAGGGCTCAATGGGCCTGTTGTTCACTCTCTGAGCCCTTGAAGGTGGCCTGGCCCTCCCTCACTGTCCCGTGGGAGCCTATTGACCCTGGCGTTGACTAGGTTTGTGGGGTGCTTGTCTCTCTAGCAGTTTCACCAATGCCAGTTTCCAGGTTAAGTTTTAGGATGAGAATTAAGGAGTCACAGGACTTGCCCCTTAAGAGATTTGTTTCATTTGAATGTGCTTTCTCCTTTGAGCCCACGGATTTGTTAACGGTTGACCCCTTTCTGTAATGAGGTCTGTGACAATGAACAAAGGTCATCAGATGTCACCAGTGGTCACCTGCCTTTGGGTACTAGTCACCGCAAACCTTCCTGAGCTCAGTGGCTGGATAATTCATCTTGTTAAGTTATCACAAGGCAACAATCATCCAGGCAACAATCTCTGGGGTAGGGCTGTGATTATTGCTGTTTTAGAAATGCGGAAATGGAGGCACCGACTTTCTCTAGCTTGTCCATGCCTACACAGCTAGTAGGAGGCAGAGCCATGATCACAGAGGAAAACCTGTGAGATGGTATGTTCCCTTTGCCCATGGTATTTTCTTTTTTTAAAAAATTTACATTTCCTAGCCCTGGCTGGCGTAGCTCAGTGGATTGAGCACGGGCTGGGAACCAAAGTGTCCCAGGTTCGATTCCCAGCCAGGGTACATTCCTGGGTTGCAGGCCATAACCCCCAGCAACCGCACATTGATGTTTCTCTCTCTCTCTCTATCTCCCTCCCTTCCCTCTCTAAAAAATAAATAAATAAAATATTTTTAAAAATTTACATTTCCTTTCATTATGAGTGACATTGAGCATTATTTCTAAGGTACTTTTTAAAAAAAGATTTTAATTTTTTTAGAGAGAGGGGAAAGAGAGGGAGAGAAACGTCAGTGTGTGGTTGCCTCTTGCACACCCCCTACTGGGGACCTGGCCTACAGCCCGGGCATGCGCCCTGACTGGGAATCGAACCAGCAAACTTGTGGTTTGCAGGCTGGCACTGAATCCACTGAGCCACACTAGCCAGGGCTGAACATGATATTTTCAAAGATGTTGATTTTATTCAAATACATGTATGTGATCATCCAGGCAACAGATTATTTTCAACTCAGGTTTTTTGAAAAATGAATATTTAGATTAAAATGCTGATTTTTCCCCCCTACCTTTTAATTATATTAGCTTGGGAACTGTGCTTTAAAATAGAGAAATCTAAACTGTTTGGCAGTTATGAACATGTTCTCAGAGATCATAGAAATCAGGACCAGGTTGTCACACTTGTTTTTCTTGGCTATTAAGTTCCATCACGTTGAAACAGCATCACATAGCTCTGGTGTGTTTTAACCGCATTTTGCAGCTAAGTCAATATTTATTAACTTGATCGTATAATTAGCAATGTTTGTTTTCCATGATTATGACATTTTGATTCTTCTGTCTAACTTGCTGTCTTTCCCCTCCGCAGAGAGCCCTGGCAGACACGAGGAAGGATGGGGAACAATGGGAGCTGCTCAGAGCCGAATGTTGGTTCGCAGTTTCTCCCAGAGGAGCGGGCCGAGGTGGACAGAGTGTTCGGGGCTCTGTCGGAGAAGAGCAGCTCAAGCACCTCACCCAGATCCTTCTCCCTGAAGGCACTGAAGGCAAGAGCATGGTGGTCATCGGTTAATGTTTAGTCTAGAGTCCGTAAACTACGGCCCATGGGCCCAAACCGGCTTTCCATTTCTGTAAGACTAACCTTTAAAAAGCTGGTTTTCTGTAGAGAGCCAGACAGGAGCTCCTTCCACCTCTGCGGGCCACTGTGGCCCCGGCCACAGCGACGCTGCTCTGCCCTCAGACCACGCTTCTGACTTGAGGTCGGACGAAGGGCCGGCCCTGCTCCCCACCCCTGACCATTGTCTCCTGACTGCCCTCCGGTGACAGACCGGGATTCGTGGGTCCAGTAACCTCGAAGTTCAAGTGTCTCTTTGCCTTAAGGATGTGTAGGCGATTGCTGTCCTAGGAATCCTATGGTGCTCCTAACAGAATAATGTTTCAAAGTCAAGGTTCCCCTGACAAGGAGTTAAAACTTCCTGTTTCCCCAACTTTTCGTCCTGTTCCATGGGGCTTTTAACTGCCTGTCCTGAGTGCTCAGGCTGAGGCGAGACACTGGCAGAGAGACGGCACCAGCCCATCATGCTGGGCCGTGGGAGGGAGGCATCGTGGGAAGGCACTTTAGTGCCTCCTCTTCTTGGAACAGGTGGAACGGGAGCTGATGGACCCTGGGGGTCCCCCAGCATGCCCACTCTGTACGGATGAGCGAACTGGCCAGGGAGGTCGTGTGGGTCACGGCGGTGTGGTATATGTGTGTGTGCACAACTAGAGCCACCCTGTCGGCCTGGCCCCCTGGCACCCTGGGGCAGACGGACCCAGCCCGGCCGGTTAAGAGCTCGACTGCAGAGTTGGTGGCAACGTGCGTAAGTGTTCATCGAGATAGATATGGGTAAAATTGATCAGAGAACCTTGGTGACTGTATAAAGTTTCCTATGAAAAGGAATTTAAGATTGCTTTTCTGGTAGAATTTTGAAAACACCAACAGAACTAGAGATGCTTTTTCTGAGAAGTCAGGTGGGAAGCAGCTTCATGAAATCTTGGAATACCGACGTGTCACGAACGGTGTAGGCGGAGCTGTCACCGGAGAATCCAGTAACCTACGATGGACGTTCGTGATTTGCTTTCTCTCACCGTTTGTTTTTAATCCCTGGACCAAATCTGGTCTGATGTTGATCAAAAGGAAAGCAATATTTACAGGATGTAATTGGCAAGACAATAAGAACTAGATTTTAAATTTAAATAAAAATTAATTAAAAATGCATATCGAGCACAAAGAACTGAGATAAGAAATGAAAGCTGGCTTAATGTATTTGGGAGTCTGCAGTATAGAGACCAGTTTAGCTATAAATAGACATATGCACCATCTGTTCCTACATTCAGACATGCAGAGGGCAGCTGTCAGTGTAGGATGAAGGAGATGGTCTAAGCAGAGCGAAGGGCAGGTGCTGGCCACAGGCAGGGATGACACGGCCAACCTGGGGAGACTGGAGAGTTTGGAGATAGGGGAACAGATTGTGGGAGAACCTGGTGGCCAAGATGAGCCTCGAGCCAGGTCATGTTATGTGTGTGATGTGGTGTGATGCCTTGGGAGGGGGAGAGGGTCCACGTGGGGAGTTAGGGAGGCCGTGTGCCGGCGGAAGCGTCCTGGCGTGGCCGTGGTTGGCCTTGGTCCCCTTGTCACCATGTTTAACTTGTACCCCGTCTAGCCTTTTCTCCTGCTTGTCCTCCACAGAGCCACATTGGGGAAGCTCTCCCCCCAGAGATGGTCATCAGACTGTACGACGGCATGCGGAGGGTTGACGTGACGGGACAGGCCAAGGGGCCCAGCGGGAGTGTCTCCCGGGAGCAGTTCACAGTGGCGATGTCCCACCTGCTGAAAGGGAACTCCAAGGAGAAGAGTCTCATGATCCTGAAGATGGTTTCTGCCACAGGTGGTCCTGTGAAAGCAAGAGAAATCCAAAAGGTAGAAAGGCCACGAGGACCAGTGCAGCCACCCCAAGTAGTCTCGGTGTCCTCAGGTGGGGGACGTGGGGTGGAGGCATCACAGAGCTGTCCAACTTTGGGGAACCCTAGATCACTTAACTGGTTGAGGTCAGAACTCCTGGACAAAGGCCTTGGCAAAACCAGACTAGCCACTGGTGTCATTAGAAAAATGAGTAACTACCTAAGTTCCATTATCTTTTCCCACAGAGAGCCATTGTAGTTGACATTCAAGAGTTAAAATGCTCTTCCCCTTCTTGATATGACATAGGTCACCGTTCATGGCAGAAAGGTCATTAATGGTAAAATTGTGATCTTCAAGTTTACAGAGGATCTCGTTGGCTCTGTGGCGCACGTGCTGACCCACAGACAGGAGCTGAGAGGCTGGACTCAGAAGAAAGCCCCAGGCCCCCCGCCCAGGGCCAGGGTCCTGGCTGCTCAGCTGTTCTCCGAGATGAAGCTTGCAGGCAAGTGCCCTGCGTGTGCGCGATCGCGCTGAGCCCTGGGTGGCCACATGGAGTGGCCCCACACTGTCCCAACTACCGTAGCCTTTCGGTAAAGTTCTGAAATCTGCAAGCGTGAGTCTTCCTCCTTGGGGAGACTATTTAGATCGTCTAATTTGATTGGCATATGACTGCTCATAGTATTTCCTTATAATCCTTATTCTGCAAGGTCAGTGGTGATGTCCCCACACGTACTGCTGACTTTAGTCATTTAAGTCTCCTCTTTTTTTCTTGGTCTGTCTAGCTAAGCGTTTGCCTGTATTTTGTCGATATTTTCAAAGAGCCAGCTTTAGTTTTGTGGGTTTCTCTGTTGTTTGTCTACTCTCTATTTCGTTTACTTTCACCCAAGCCTTCTGTTTCCTTCCTCCTGCTACCTTTAGGTTTATTTTGGTCACCATTCTAGTTTTTTTATTTTTTAAAAGATTTTATTTATTTATTTTTAGAGAGGGAAGGGAGGGAGATAGAGAGAGAGAGAGAAACATCAATGTGCAGTTGCTGGGGGCCATGGCCTGCAACCCAGGCATGTACCTTGACTGGGAATCGAACCTGGGACACTTTGGTTCACAGCCCGAGCTCAATCCACTGAGCTGTGCCAGCCAGGGCTATTTATTTATTTTTAGAGAGAGGGGAAAGGGATTAGAAAGAGAGATACATCCATCAGTTGCCTCTCTCACACACCCCCACACTAGGGACCTGGCTGGCACCCGGGTGTGTGCCCTGGCTGGGAATCAAACCAGTGAGCTTTTGGTTCGCAGGCTGGCACTCAGTCCACTGAGCCACACCAGCCAGGGCATCTTTCTAGTTTTTTAAGCTCGAAGGTAAGGGTAGTGATTTGAGATTTCTTCTTTTTTAACATAGGCTTTTGTGACTATAAATGTCCCTCTAAACACTGCTCCCATTGCTTCCTGTAAGATTCGGTATATTGTGTTTTTGTTTTCACTCATTCTCAGAATTTTCTAGCTTCCCTTATGATTTCTACTCGGCCTGTTTGCCATGTGGTGGTCTGTCATTCAATTTCTGCAGGTTTGTGTGTGTCCCAAATTGCCTTCTGTCACTGGTTGATAAGTTTATTGTTTTGTGGTTGAAGAACATATGTTACATAATTGCAGTCTTTTTAAATTTACTGAGTCGTGTTTGATGATCTCACATTCAGATTGTTTTATGTACACTTGAGAAAAATGTGAATTCTGTTATTGTTGAGTGAGAAACAGTATATGTTTAAAATTTTTTAAGGTTTTATTTATTTTTAGAGAGAGAGGAAGGGAAGGAGAAAGAGAGGCAGAGAAGCATCAATGTGTGGTTGCCTATTGTACACCCCCTACTGGGGACCTGGTCTGCAACCCCAGGCACGTGCCCTGACTGGGAATTGAACTGGCGACCCTTTGCTTCATAGGCTGGAGCTCAATCCACTGAGCTACACCAGCCAGGGGTAAATTTACTTGGGGTTTAAAAATACCCTCTGGGGCATTTTTGTGCAAGGTAGACTTGTTTTATACAAGTGTTACTGTTTTATTATAAAGCTGGACTTTTTAAATGCAATTTGAAAATTGCATTTAAATTTGAAAAATGCAATTTGGGTTATATTTCAAAACTTCATTTAAGTGAGGTATTCAGAACTTGGAAAGAATGACATAATGTATATCAAGTGCCCCTAGTTTGTCTTCTGGTGTCACCAGTGCATCACCTTCACTCTCAGTAGGTAAGGGACAGAAAACGGGATGATAGATGCCGCTTCGACACTGCTGAGCACAATTTGTAGTTAATGAAACCTGTTCTTCCTGATAAACTTGAGGGGATCCAGGTAAGTTACCGACCACTGCCTTGACTCGGCCGAGGACAATGCGTTCTACATCCTTTGCAAATGACTTTGCTGGGGCCAAAGCCCCGGACCAGTGGCTTTGCTTGGAACTGTTGCTGAGAGTCCCGGGGCTCGCCAAGGGTGTGGCTGTCTCTCCAGGGCCTCTGCAATGCAGCTGGGAGGGGAAAACAGCAGGAGTGCTGACGTTAAATTGTTTAGACTCACGCCATCCAGCAGATGTGATTCATGCACCAAAGTAACACACACGTGGAATTTTAAGTATTCTAGTAGCCATATTAATAAGAAGAAACAAGTGAAATTGACTAATAATACGTCCAAAATATAATTTAACATTGGCAATCAGTCAATCAAAGAAGATTGAGATATTTTTACATTATTTTTTTCCATACCAAGTTTTTGAAACTGGGTGTGCATTTCCCACTTGTTGCTGCATGTCTCAGTTCAGACGGGCCGTGTGTCGCACGCTCAGAGGCCATGCGAGGCTCCCGTGTTGGACGGTGCAGGTTTCGGCGAGTAGATAGAAGAAGACGTAATCACCCGCTAATACTGTTTTCCCCTCCCCTAGACGGCAAGAAGCTGCTGGGGCCTCAGCACCTGGACTGTGACTGTGACCCAGCTGTGATCGAGGACTGGGTGTACAGGGTCCACCTGGTGCCCACATTCCTGAGTGTGGTCATCCACAGAGGCTTCCTCCTGCAGTCGTCCCTCGATCTGGCCACTCTGGTCCCCCAGCGTGAAGTGGACCGGGGCCAGGAGTTTGAGAGTGTCCTGGACGTGCTGTCGGTCATCTATGTCAACTCCCACCTGCCCAGGGAGCGGCAGCACCGCTGGCACCTGCTGTTCTCATCCAAGCTCCACGGGCACAGCTTCGCACAGCTCTGCGGGCGCATCCCCCGCCAGGGGCCCTGCGTGCTGCTCCTCGAGGACTGTGACGGCCACGTGTTCGGTGGCTTTGCCTCCTGCTCCTGGGCGATCAAGCCTCAGTTTCAAGGTAAGACTGGCTCGGCCACCGAAACCCAGGGGTAACACAGCACGTGTTAGGTGTCCCGGTCAGATGGCTGCAGCATGGGGGCCTCTGAGCCCGGACTAGGGGCACAAGTGTCAGGAAGAATGTGTGCATTTCTTTTATCGTCTCCTCCAAGGGCTTGTCTAGGCGACTTGGGGGGAACGTGAAACGTGATGCTGCTCTGTGGTGGGTGAGCGCTTCACGGATTGCTTTCTGATTCTGACAATGGGGCCGGGTAAGCAGGACAGGTGTGCTCACCCCAGATACTAGGTTTATTAGATGGTGCCAGGTCCCGGCCGTGGGAGTGGCGGGGCTGTGGGTGCCTCATGTGGGGTTCTTTCAGATGGGGTGTCTTCTCTCACGGGATCATCTTCCTTCCCTAGGACCCCCTGTGTGTCTGCTTTGCTGCTTCTGCCATGGTTTTTGGCTTTGTGGTTTTGCTGGAGTTGGGGAGTTTTTGTGGGATCTCCAGTGCAGCGAATGAATAGCTCTAAGCGAATTATTCCCCTTCCTCGGGGAAAATGCTCTGGTAAACATTTTTAAAGGACCATTGTGGAAAATGCCCACGTGCTGGGCAGACTTGGGTGAAACTGCCTTCCTAGGGTCTGCAGTCACTGCCTGTCCCACGATGTGTGGCCCTGCTGCCTGAGTCTGTGTTCTCGGTAGAGCTCCTCGGGGCCAGCAGCTGTGACATGAAGGACTTTTCCTAGTGACTCTGAGAGACCAAGTGCAGTCCTGCTCTCACTCCCATGGGCCCAGTGAATTCTGGGCAGGGGTTAATACCCTCCCTGGCTGGGTGAGTGGAAGGGAGGAGCCAGGGACCTGAGAGTCAGAAGGTGGAGGGGGGAGGCCTCTTGGGCGGAGACTGTACTTCCTAACCAGGTGGTCCTCAGTTCCCACCCATTCTGCCTGTGTCCCTCCCGCCTCCTCTCGCTGCCTCGCCCTCAGCGGTGCAGTGCAGCTGCCTTCTCACTGGCCTCTGCTTTTAGTCTTGCCCCCTCAACCCATTTGCCATATCCAGCTCTTCTCCTGGAAACCCTTTAACAGACCATCCCCCAGCCCTCAGGGTGGTGCACCTTTTATCTCTCCTGTCACCACCCGCTCCGGTCCCCCTGCCATCTCTGCTGAGTCCCACCGAACTTCCTGCGGTTTCCAGAACAGGCTCTGCTCCCCTTGTCTCGGGTTTGGCATGTGCTGCTTTCTCCCTCCTCCACCTGTTTGCATAACCAGCTTCTTGTTGGGACTCAGCCCAGGGTCACCTCCTCCAGGAAGCCTTCCCAACCACTTGAGGGCCATGCGCTCCCTGTGGTCCTCTGTCAGGCTGCATGCATACCTCTGGAATCATTCCTGTCTTTCCTCCGCTAGGCAGAGCATCTGTCAGCGGGGGAGCCGTGTCCAGGTGCAGGGTTGCCATCACTGGAGAGGGTTGAGCAGCGGTGGCAGCCCCTTTGTCCAGGAGGGGTGGACGGAATCATGAGAGGAAGGTTGGGTACCTCCTTTCTGGAGATCCTACTATTTCTAGGATTTTATTTTCTCTGGGTGTTAGAATGTTCCAGATCATAAATGCAGGTGCTGTTACCAGCTCTTTCCCACTGTGTCAGAGGTCCCCCAGACCACCCACACGTCAGTGATTCACTGGCAGCACTCACGGACGCAGCATAAAGCTGTGCTCACAGCCACGGCTCATTTCCGTGAGAGGACGCAGAGCGAGACCAGTACAGGGAACAGCGTGTGGGATGAAGTTGTGGGGTTCCCAGCATCCGCTCCCAGAGTCCCCTCCCTGGGGAGTCATGCAGGACGTGCTGACCCCCCAGCAACGAGCTGTGATGACATCGTGAAGTGCTGTCCAGCGGAGAAGCTCAGTAGGGACTCGGCGCCCAGGGTGTTATTGGGGGCCGGTCACGTGAGCACCCTCTGCCGGGCTCGTCCCAACACCCCAGACTCCCAGGGGAAGCAGGCATTCGGCACCAGTCCCTCTGTTTGCACGAACAGTTGGGCCCAGGGAGCCACTCTGGTCAGTTCTGGGGGTGGCGGGGACCCTCCTGAATTCCAAGCGCCCCAACACCAGCCGAGGGCCAGCCTTGGAAGCAGGCCTTCCTGGGGCCACGGCCTCGGGCCTGCAGCAGCCCCACTCTGCACACCCACCGTTCCTTGTCACGGCGTCCCAGGGAGTGGCGCATCCTCCCCGCCGTGCCGCTTCCAGGCTTTATGGGAGTGACGAGCCAGCGGCTCTCTCTCTGTGTGGTTGGAGGCTGTGTTTTAGAAACAGGAAAAAAACCCTGAGAATCACTTTTACAGACAAAACATTCACTTCTTCCAGCTCCTTTAATATTAACTCCAGGTTAGTGCTGCTGGGCCTAATGTTTTATTAACATGCAGAATTCCTCTTCCTGAAGAACCGTGGAAAACATGCAGTTACCAAGTTCCCCAACTTGAGTTCATTCTGTTCTGAAATGCGGGCTGGAGTTCCAGCAGAGGGCAGCCTTGCACCAGAGTCGGGTCAAAACCAGACCCGACTCTGAAAGCGTTCTTGTCCATAGGTCTTGGAAACAATCCCTTTTGTTTGAGACTTGAAGTGACCGACTCAGGGTCACTTCACTTTTGCTCTGTCTCTGTGGTGCAGATGACAGGCCTTGGCTTGGGACTGAACCCAGAGCCTCAGCAGTCCAGCCCTGGTCCTGGGCAGGGTGCTGGTTTCAGCGGGCCTTGGCTCCCCGGAATTATGGGAGACGGTGTTGTGGGAAAGCAGGGTGTAAGCTGTGTCCCAGCGGGGGTGTCACATATCGCTGCTGTGAGCATTAGGCGGAGCCTCACCATTGGCATGACGTTTTTACAGGTAATACTGACTCCACAGGTCCTCACGCCTCGTCCTAGGAAGACTTCCCTCATGCGGCCTCCCTGCTGAGGGCTGGCCCACTGAGGGCCTAGAGTGGGGTCCATGGCAGCTGAGGGGCCTCTGCTTTGTGGCCCCATCGCCTTGCTTAGCGTTGGGACCGAGTATACATTGGCTGAAAGACAGCCTTGGGGTTGCAAAGCAGAGTGATGCCACGCCCAGCATTGGGGGCAGCAGGGTGGGACCAGGTAGCTCATTGCTTCTAAAATCCTGGAGTGACCGCCAGCCTCCTTGCTCCTCAGTTAAGGGGGCACCTGCCTCTCCTGACTGGGATGCATTCTTCTGATGGACAGCGAGCAGAGTCCCCATCTCTGCTTCTCTGGCAAGAGCGAAAAAATGTCCCCAGCAAGCAGACGTCGTTTTATTTTTAGTTGTCACTCTCACCCTCGAGCCCTCAGCTCATCCTCCAGGGCCCTGTCTTCTGTGCCGCCTGGGAACCACCCACGGGTCTGCGATGGCTGAGCCCCCGGGTGGGTGTGAGCTCAGGGCACATCTGGAGACCCGTGTGACGGTCCTCGCCGCTGTGCCTTCAGAGCAGCGGCTTGTTTGCACCCCCTGCCTCTCCCTGTGCGGCTCAGATTGGTGATCCTGCTCGTCTGTGCTCTGGTCATTTTCAGGGGACGACAGATGCTTCTTATTCTCCATCTCGCCCCGCATGGCTGTGCACACTTGCACGGGCTACAACGACCACTACATGTACCTGAATCAGGGGCAGCAGACCATCCCAAACGGACTGGTGAGGACTGGGGAAGGGCCGGGATGTCCCGCCTAGTGGCGTCCATCCTGGTGGTGTGCCCAGGCTGACACTTCCCGACACCTCAGGGGCACTGCGTGCATTGGGTCATGCGGGCATGCCATGTTCCCTTCATTCTGCCTGGGTTTCCCAACTAGGACAGAATTTCTCCTGTGGAAGGGCGGAGTCTCTCTTGGGGTGTTTTGGTGTTTTGTGTGCAAATGGTGGATTTGACCAGTTTTCTTGGTGATCAGATGGTTGGCCTATGGCCTTCATTGCTGGACATGTCATTAGTGTCAGACCTGTCACCAGGCCCTGCTGCCCTGCCACTTGTCTGGGGGAGGAGCAGGGGGAGGGGCACGCCCAGGGCTAGGCGCCCTGGACCCATGGGGAGCTGTCAACAGTGACTCACAAAACAGTGTGCGGAGCTCCAGCTGGGGTGGCCATACCTCCTATTTGCTCTGTGCTCCAGCCTGGAGGCTGAGCTGCAGGAAGAGGAGGATGAGGGCAAAGGCCAATGGCAGGCAGAGGGGCTGGGGTGGGAGAGGGGGCAGGGTGAGGTAAGGGGCTGCGCCAGGCACCCATGTACACACACACCAGCCCAGCACCTGCAAGCCAGCTAAGTGTGGTGGGAAGTGGGTCTCTTGCCAGCACTGTAGCCAGTTTTTTTTCTCTGCTTCTTAACAAAACACTCGTGGGAACTTCCAGCCCTGTACTTGCAGAGCCAGGGGCCAGGAAGGCCGGTCCCCCGCGGCAGGATGGAGAATGTCCCCCTGTGCTCCTTTCCAGGCTTTTGTGTGCCTCCCCCGGGGCTGCCTGGGGACCCCCCTGGACACCTCCCAGAAAGGGCAGTTTGGTGACTACAGGGGCAAGGGCTTTGGCCTCAGGAGCAGCACCCAGTAGGTCCCCAGGAATCACCAATAATTAGTCTGAGGGAGAGAAGCAGCTCTGAGAATCAACTCTATTTTCTTGCTTTGGTCTCTTGTTCAAAAGTAGTTCCAGGCCATCCGGGACACGAGGAGGCACCCGGACAAGTGATCGGGGAGGAGGAGCAGCAATTCTGTCCTCATCGCCACGAGCTTAGAGCCAGCAGTGTGGCGGGTGGTGGCGGAACAGCCCTGCGTCGCCCCCTGGTCTGCTCCCTGTTTCCTCTCCTTGCGCCACACTGCGGAGAGAGGGGCTCACGCCCTCAGCCCAGTGCCCTGGCCTGTGTGGGACGAGTGTCCCTGCCTGCAGGGTCTCTGTCACCGCGTTCTCCGGGCCCTGATGGTGTGCCTTCTCTGTCCTCTGCTGTCAGCCAGCGCAGCCCCATGAGAAAGAGCTGTGAGCTGGGAATCTGGACCCCTCGATGATTATTCTAATAACTTGTAATGGGATATATAAATTACCCCAATCTATATATTTCAGAGTTAAAAGAAGAAAATTACAATCATTTCTCATCCACCCTCCTCTCAGACTGGCACCTAAGGCTGATGTGGGCTTGGAGGCTGATATCCAGGCCGAGGAGGTGCTGATGGCCTTCCCTTCGCAGGGCATGGGCGGGCAGCATAATTACTTCGGGCTGTGGATCGACGTTGACTTTGGGAAAGGACACAGCAAGGCCAAGCCCACGTGCACCACGTACAACAGCCCTCAGCTGTCAGCCCAGGAGGACTTCCGGTTTGAGAAGATGGAGGTGTGGGCAGTGGGAGACGCCCCCGAGACGGAGCCGGTGAGCATGGGGCCGTTTCTCTACTTTCTCGGCCTTACCCCTTTTACTGGATGGAAGCGTCTAGAGACAGTTTATTCCAAGTTTGTTTCCATCAGCTGTCATTTTCCGTGGACACTCTCAGCTGGCCAGAGAGGTGCCAGTGGGTGCACAGCAGAGTCCTGTCGGGGTCACCGGGGTGAGGGAGGGGGTGGCGGGGGATTAGCAGGATGAACCGCCGGGGAAGTGGGGCCTGCCCAACGTGGGAACTTGGGTGGGTGGGTGGCCCGATCTGCAAGATGTGGAGAATCGGGGTGCCTTTTCGTTCCGTGGTTCTGCGGTGAGCCATCGTTGGGCCTTCTGCACCTTGTCACCCCCTTAGGATGGCACGCCAGGGTAGGGGAGCGTCAGCGAGGGAGCCAGGGTCCCCACCACGTTTCCTTGTGGCCCCAGTGGGATATCAATCCACGCTAGTAAGCTCGAAACCAGCACAGCATCGCTGCCTGTTCTGTGCTGCACGTCACTGGTCACTGAACTCACCCACTCCCCTTTCTCCCAAGGCCGCCAGCAAGAAGAGCGTTCTCGATTCGAACCCTGAGGCCCAGGTCGTGCTGCTGATCAGTGGGCACACTCGCCACAGCGATGGGCTCCGACAAGTCCCCGACCAGGAGTGAGGAGGAGCCCGGAGCACGACCCCCTGGATGAGAGCACACAACTTGCCCACCTTGTCCCCATCCTGTGCGCACTGGCTTTGACACAGAGCTGCACTGGCCATGTCCAGGTTGTCCTGGACGTGCTCAATGGGGACAGTAAAATTCCCCTGATGATTAGCGGATATACCTCCCAGGTAACCTGAGTGTCAAATCAGCAGCTTAGCTCTTACACTTTGTTAATTTAGACCACTGAAATGCAAAGACACGGAGACATTTGGGACCTCTGATGGAATCAGCATTTGATGGGCATAGAGTTCTTGTGTATAGGAGGTTCCCCTCGCTGGGGGTCTCTCAGCTTCTCGCCAGGCCTTCCCAGTTACAGTGCCTTGACTTCCGTTTTGACTGGTAAAGGACAGAGGCGTTTGAATGGGAATCTCAATGTTTTTCAATGTGTTAATAGGGGGAAATAGTCGAAGATTTTGGAGCTAAAAGTGGCACTGGTTTTCACTAGGTGTTTATGATAAGGTCCGTATCTGCCTTCTCGGCTGTTTTTAAAGGAGTCGGTGCCACGAGCAAATGGGAAAATGAGACGGAGAGGCAAAGTTGGGTTTCTGTTGCTGATCTAGTGTGGGGATGTTTGGAGGCCCTGTGTGGCCTGTCGCATACATTAGCGGTGAGGGGCTTGCAGCACGGCCTGGGTTCCCGGCCTCCAGACTCGCCCCTGCCAGGATCAGCTCCCTGAGCAGTGCTGTCCCCACAGGGGAGGGCTGGCGGTTCCACAGCCTGGGCTCTCTTTGAACACACCCCAGAGGTCCTGAAATGCTGGCAACCACTTAGGTGGGCTGGGCTTCCGCGGGGTGGGCTGGCGAGCAGAGCTGCCACCTCCCAGCCCTGAAAGAACTCTGTAAACACACTGAGAATCCCCTCCTTCAAGGAGCTGGGGGTTCCTCCCTCAGACGTATACCTCATCCTCCTGTCTTTTGCTATGCACTTGGACCTTTGATTACAGAGTTTGCTCTGATTACAAGCCATAACAAACTGAGCTGTCTGCATTTTGAAGTCTCTACATTTTCTACCAGGAGGCTCATCACCTTTGCACTTAGCAGTGCCCTTGACTGAGCAGGAGGGTCCTGCAACGCAGCCTTCACAAGGAAAGCACACACTCAGACAGTGTGTGGAGGGTGTGCAGGGGCAGCAGCGTGACACACACAGATTCAGTCATGGTTGATTTTCCTTATGAAAAGCCAGTTTAGCCCTGGTTGGTGTGGCTCAGTTGGTTGGGGGTTGTCCTGTGAACGAGAAGGCCACCAGTTCGATTCCCAGTCAGGGCTCATATAAGAGGCATCCAGTCAATTTTTCTCACATTGATGTTTCCCTTTTCTCTCTCTTAAAAGAAAAAAAAAAGAGAGGCCAGATTATCAAGCTTCTCGGGGATATTATGTGATTTCTTAATTGGGGTAGCAGTTACAAGATTTGGGGATCCTCAGATATCCTTACCATAAATCTGAAGGGTCTTAAATCTTCAGTTTATTGTGGAATTAAAGAAATTAAATAAATACAGTTAAATATCTCCTAATAAAAGATCCATTGGTGTCTGTACCTCGAGTGCCCTTTACTGCCACCTCTGCCTGTGGCTGTCAGAGGGGCTTCGTTTTATCTGGGTGCCTGTTTCCTACCTCGCCCTTGTTCTCACGAGACTGCAGATCACAGATGCAGACAGGTTTCCGAGGACTGCGCACTTACAGGAGGAAGGAGGGTGCTCAGTCCATGTGTTCGGGAACCTGGGGGTGCTGCCCTGGCGGTGGGCCTGCTGTTCTTTCTGGGTGCACAAACCCCTAGGGCGCCAGACGTGGTCGGGCCCTGGCCTGCTGCACCGGGCCCTGCCTGGGACCAGGAGACCCACGATGCTCGTTTTAACAAACGTTCTTTTATGGAGCAGGAATAACAGTTCTGGTTGGAAGGACCGGCGGTCTCTCCATAAATGAAGACTCAGCACTCAAAGAGGTGCCAGAAGGAAGAGGTGCAAAAATGCAGCTCCTGATACGAACATGGCTATTATTTTTCCCCACCATATTTTTTAATGGAAAAAATTACCATATGTGTACATGGTTAAAAGAAAAAGGTCAAAATATTAGGATATAATTTGAAAGGGAAATCCTCCCCGCTGGCCCCTTCCTAGCATTTCCCTCCCAAGAGGCGAAGCACTCCTGATAAAGCCACGTCGGTCTCCTTCCGGAGTAACTCCGCACACTCAGCCTGGTTGAGTTTTACGCTCCAGTGCATCCCTCCCTTCTTATTGCGGGGAGATGGCTCAGTATTCACCCGTCTGTTTCCCTCTGTTTTCGTCCACTGTGTAACGTCCCATTATATGGAAGCGCCATCATTTCCAGCGTTCAGCCATCCCCGTGCACGGAACGTTTTGGTTGCAGCCCACTGGCTGCAGTGAGTATCCTGTGTGTCTGGGCGTGATGTTTGTCTGGAGGATAAACCCTTGGAGGCTGAACTGTTGGATCAGAAGGTGTGTGAATTTCTATTTAGATATTGACAGGTTAACCTTTTGAGCTCAATTTATACTTTTAACATACTAGAGTGCTTGTCGGCTACATTTGCACCAACACAATTTAAATTTAGTTTTTGTTTACCTAATAACATGAAAACTGTAACTTTATTTTCTGTTTCTTTTATGCGTGACGGAACAGCTTCATTTCTCAGAAGCCAGCTGTTTCGTATCCTTCATCTAGTTTTCCAGAGTGTGGGTCTTTCTAACTGATTTGCAAGAGTGCTTTTTTTGAATGAGGCAAGTTAGCATTTGATGTGTATGGCAAATATTTTTACAGTTTGTTCAACTTTCTTTTTCTTCACATAAATTTTGCATTTTATGCCATCATATTTGCCAGCATTTCCTTTTAAGTCTTCTGAGACTTGAAGCTTTTCTTGACTTTGAGATAAAAAAGTCCCTCTTTTACTTCTGTGCTTTCTATTTTTACACCTACATCTTCAAACCATTCAAAATGTATTTTAAAATACACTTCTCTTACCCCAAAGCAAATTCCAGTACCTTCTATATTACATGGTATGTCTCTTTCCCACTGACTTAAAGTGCTACTTCTTCATTAACTGAATTTCTGAATGAACTTAGATTGCTGTTTCATATTTTAATCACTGGAATTTTAGGATAAAAAGATGTAAGAGCTATTCCCCTATAACTACTGTTTTTCAGAATTTTCCTTCATATGCTTGCCTGCTTATTTTCTGTCACCTTTGGGAGCATTTTGTCTACTTCTAAAAAGTTTGGTAGTAGCATTTTTGAAATAGCATTAAATATAGATTATGTAGGCAGAACTGGCTTTTGGTTAAAAATTTATGATTCTTGCTATCCAAACTACGTAAATTTTTGTTGTCATTGCTGGCACTATAAGTGAACCTTCCCCTGCCCTAAAATGATTGATTGAACATAGAAAAGCTCTTGATTTCCCTACATGTTTTTATCCAGTTGCCTTGCAGAATTCTTTCATCCAGTGGCTCAGTCCTGAGCCTGCACCAGGATCCTCTGGAGGACGTCTTCAAATGCAGACTACGGGGCTCCACACCTGGAGTTTGATTCAGTCTGTCTGGGAGGAGGGACCCAGGAATTCATATTTCTAATCAAATTCCCAGGTCTTGCTGATGCTTTTGGTCCCGGGACCTCACACTGAGAACCGCTGCTGTTTACAATTCTTGATCACCTCTGAATTCCCTGGGAGTTTGCAGGTGGTATCATTTTTTTTTTGGTCTGAAATCTTTATCTTTGTTTTCATTTTTGAACCATTGTTTTTGTTCTGCTTTTTGAAAGATATGTCAACATATTTTTCCCCAACTGCTTTAAAGCTGTCTTTCTGCTGTGTTTCAGCTTGCGGGGTTTCTATTTCTTTTCTCCCAGCTTTACTGAGATGTAATTGACATAAACTGTTGTGAAAGTTTAAGGTATGTGACATGTGATTGCAGGTAATGTGATTGCATACCTGGAAATGAAGATAATTTCCCCAGTCTTCCAATTTCTAGACCTCTTATTCCTTTTTCTTGATTAATAGTATCCACAAATATTTTTGAGAACGTTTAAAAGAAATCTTTTTAAAGAGATGTTATATATTTACTTTTAGAGAGAAGGGAAGGGAGAGAGAAAGAGGGAGAGAAACTTCACTGATGTTCAGTTGGTTGTCTCTCGCACACCCCCAACTGGGGACCCGGCCTGCATCCCAGGCATGTGCCTTGACTGGGAATTGAACCTGTAGCCTTTCGGTTTGCAGGCTAGTACTCAAACTACTGAGCCACACCAGCCAGGGCTATTTTTGAGAACTTTAAAAGTATAATACATCCTCCTTATTTCTGACTGTAATGGAAATGCATCTAATCTTTTATCATTAAGCTTGACACTGGCTGTGTAGAGATATTTCACATATATAAATATTTTCATGTAAAGGAAGTTTCCATTTGTGTTTATGTTATTAAAAGTTTTCTCTCAGGAGTAGATGCTGAATATTATAAAAAGTTTTTAGCATCCACGATTTTCTTTTTTAGGGTTATTACCAGGAATAGGGCCCCACACACTGAGCTAGGTGTGTGTTCTCACTGTCACCTGCCCGGTGTGCGAGCTCAGCTGGCCCGCCTTGGGACTGTTGCAGCGATGTGTGTAAGTGGCTGGTGGTTTCTAGTTCTGTTTTGTGTTGGTCAGATTTTGTGAAAGTCATGCTTTAGTTTTAAAATTCTGCTAGCTCTACAAAAATAATTTAGAACTTCTCTCTTCTCCGGGTTCTAGAAAATGCAAATGAAAGACATTCTTCAAGTGTGGGTAAAATTCACCTGGTACATTTTGATTTGGTAGGTGAGGACGGGGTTAACTTTTGATGACCTTATTTATTTGTTTTATCATCTGGGTTGTTTTTAATCAATACTGGGATCAATTTTGATAATTTTTATATTTCTTTCCTAAATTTCTATTTTATTTAAGTCTTCAAATTAATTTATATAAGATTGACTAAAATATTTGAAATCTTTTGTGGGTTTTTTTCCCATTTATTTATTTCTAGACAGAGGGGAGGGGAGAAAAAGAGGGAGAGAAACATTAATGTGTGGTTGCCTCTTATGCCCCCTATGGGGATGTGGCCCACAACCCAAGTATGTGCCCTAACTGGGATTCAAACCAGTGACCCTGGCTTGCAGGCTGGTGCTCAATCCACTGAACCACACCAGCCAGGGCCTTTTGTGGGTTTTGTCTCATGTTTTCTTTTCATTTTTCCTAGATTATGTTTTACCAATTTTTTAAGTTAATTTTGTTTTCATATTTCCTCCTAATTATGCTTATTTTTGTCAATCTCAAACCTAAACTTTCAACTGCTCATTGCTAGTATATAGAAATGCAAGTGATTTGTTTTAACCTTGTATTTTATGGCTTTACTACACTTACTTATTTGTTCTACAAAGATTTTTGTTTAGGTTCCTCGAGATTTTCAATATAGACAATATTGTCATCTGTGAATAGGATCGGTTTTATTTTCTCCTTTCTATTCTCTCTTTTATGCCTTTTATTTTATCTTTTCTTGCGATATTGCACTGGAACACCACTACTATGTTGAACAGGAGTGGTGATGTTGGACATCTTCGCTTTGTTCTAATCTTATGGGGAAAGCATTCAGTGTGATGTGAGCTGTAGGGTGTGTTTTCTTTTAGTAGATGTTCTTTGTCAGGTTGAGGATGTTCTTTTGTATTTCTAGTTTGCTAAGAGTTTTTCATCATGAATGGGGTTTGAATTTTATCAAATGCTTTTTTGCTTTAGTTAATATGACCATGTGGTTTTCCTTTCTTAGACTGTTAATATGGTGGATGACACTGATTTTTGAATATTGAACTGGCCTTCTGTTCTTGGGTTACCCCTCCTGGGCATGGTGTCTTGTACTGTTTGCATGTGGCTGGATCCAATTTGCTAATATTTCATTGAGGATTCTTGCATTTGTGTTTAGGTATGTTGGTTTGTAGTACTGTTTTTATCTGATTTAGGTATCTTAAATGTTTAGTAAAATCTACCGGTGAAACCAGATTTCCTTTTTGGGGAAGAGTTTTAAATACAACTGCAGTGTCTTCACTGGTTATAGAACTTTTCAAATTATCTCCTCTTTGGTGAGTTTTGGTTTTCAAGGAATTTATTTCCTCTAACTTGTTGAATTTAGTATTCCCTTCTTGTTGGAATATCTTGAGGGGGTTTATAATGATAAACTATCTTTCATTGCTAGTATTGGTAATTCTTTTATTTCTTTGATAAACCTTTACACAGACTGATACCTACTGATCTTTTCAAAGAACTCACTTTTGATTCTTTTCTTCTATTTCTGTCCATTTCACTGATTTCTGCTTCTCACTATTTTTATTTGGTGAATGTTCCTCTGCACTTGATGGGTGGAGTGTTTTATATGTAAATCAATCTAAGTTGTTCAATGGGGCTCCAGTCCACTGTACCCTTGATGAAAAGGTTTTCATTTGGGTATGGTTTGGTATCTCTGTGATATTGGGCTGGCCAAAAATTCATTTGTTTTTTTCCATATGATGGCTCTAGTAGCACTTAGTTG